CGCTGCTAGACCTTGCTAACCAGCCCTGACTTGCCAGTCGGCTTCGGAGAAGCCTGCCCAGCTGGAGCCACTGCTGCTGCCAGGGGAGGTGCTGGTGGCGTCGGCCGACGACGTGCTGCTGTACCTGCCGCTGTCGGAGCGGCCCGACGGCGTGCTCGGACGGCTGGTCGTCACCAACTTCAAACTGACATTCCTGGAGGCGCGCAACCAGCAGGGCAGACTCGTGAGTGGCAGGCTGGCACTGCTGGCAGGAGATCAAGGGTGTGAGCTGTCTGGTCTGTAGTGGAAATCTAATGTATATGCAAGTAGTGTCTGCTGCTAGCTATGCATACCAGGCAGTCGCAGAGAGGTCTTGGAAGTACCTGGTATGACATGCATTGGGATAAGTTTGCCTCATCCAACCCAGTTTGGCCCACGTCGATGTGTTGTTTTACCCAAACATCACTGTTTTTGCCTAATTCGTACAGGATGCCTTTTGTGTTCTGAGGCGGGCGAGATGACAACAGACATGCCTGCATGTTATCACCTTGTGGATGGTACCAAAATATAAACAAATGGAGCCAGTCGCTGCCGCAAATCCATTCTGATAGGCTTTCAATCCAAAAGTCAATATTTCCTTAGTTTGATTGGTGGACAGGTTTGCTGACCTCAGATGGGGTGACGGTTCGGGCTTCCGTCGTCGTCCCGTGTGTAAGCTTGTGCACAACATCTCGGCCAGTTAATTGTTTGGCTGTCGTCAGGCGTTATTGAGTCGTGAGAAGAACTGGAGATGTTCGGCTTTCAGCTATGTATGTGCAACAGCCTGTGTTCGCTCCTTGGAATATCTAGGTTTCGAACCGGGGTTTTCTATTGCAAGTCCGCCGCTCTACCAACTGAGCTGAGCAGGAAGGGCCTTCTGTGACTGTTCTAGAAAAAATAGTAGCTTCCTTCCTGCTCATTTCTGAAGATTCCCAAATAATTTGTCCGCTGACGACCATGGGCTTACTTTCATGCTACAGGCCAGTGACCTTAAAGGGCTTGTCCATTTTCATACCGAAAGATCGGCAGTTGTTTGCAGCTATACAAAGTTAGACGTCGCTGTAGAAGCTCGGAATCTTTTCTGGGAAGACCTTTTACTGAATCAAATTGGCCTCCACCCTCACTGCCCACTGGGTGTAAATATATGAGCTCATCAGAAGCGCAATTCGATGGATCGAGCGTGATCTTTCCGCTGAAGCAACACAATGGCCGGTTGGTTGACGCCGCAAGGAGGACCATGACCCGCCCGCACTTAGTTACTTACAGATATATAGTACACTTAAGGCCACTTGTGACATAGTGAGCCATCTCAAGGTGCCAAGCTGTGGCTGTGGTGAAAATAACCTTTGACTCTCCGGCAGGCGTCAATGGAACAGCGCAACCTGCTTCTGGGACCACGAGATATCTGTTTGATGAATGTTGATACTATTCATCAACTCCTGTCGTCCAGCGGAAAGACCAAACGGCTCTATCCACGGTCCACTGTGCAAGGCAAGATCAAGGGGATCCAGATACGATGCAAGGTAACTTCGCTGCTCCCCCCCCCCCCCCCCCCCCATTTACTGCTGCTGGAGTCTCGTAGTGATGACGTATGCACCTCATGGTTTGCTGCATGCGATGTGCTTCTGGAGAGAGGAAGTCGTGCAGGTTACACCCGATCGTCCACGCACTGACTCGAGGAGGGTACGGGCGTGTCTTTCGTGCAACTTTTTACCTCCCTTTTCGCTCATTATTGCAGGATTTTCGCCTGTTCACGTTCAGTCTGAATCTGACAAGTGTGAACGAAGCCGTAGCGGTGACAAGCGCGTTGCTGAACCTCTGCTACCCGCAGTCCGTCCACCTCCTGTTCGCCTTCAGCTACCGGTAAGCGCCGGCTGCGACGGACGCGTCCGGCCGGTCTGGCGAGGCTCTGCCGCTCCGCTGGTCAGCGGAGGTTAGCCTTTTTCTGAACACATGGCTGCCGCCAAATACGAGTGATAGTTGCGAAGTGCCAGCATTGCTTCTGACTCTTTTCATGTTTTACTGTAGTGCGATGTTAGTGGTATGTGCAGATATTGTGATTTGCACGTGGCTTTTTTGTTTGCGTACAATGTACGTGGCCGTCCTTCTCATGGCAGCCTCCTGTTTGGTTTATTTGAGGGGGGCCCACCGTACTCCTTCGTCCTGAATTAAAGTACCCCTACCTTGTAATACTGGGAGCAGAACCCACTCTAGGTGCTGAGCGGCAACAGTCAGCACACCCATCACCTGTGACCGCGCGCTGCGTCGCCCCGGCGACGCCGCTGACCTCTGTCCGGCCGCAGGGGCGGGCCGGCCACCGGCGAGCTGTGCGACCTCGGCACGCCGGCCTACTGGCAGGCCGAGCTGCGGCGCACAGGCGCGCTCGGCTGGCGCGTCTCGCAGGCCAACGAGCTGTACCAGATGTGCCGCAGGTAAGGCCGCGGACGTCCTCAGGTCGGGTCGTGCCGGTGTCGTTGGCCATAGGTCACTGGCTGATGATGCGGCCACAAATGGCACCATCGGCCGTCGGTGCTGCATGCCTCCCGCGTTGGTGCCGTGTGCCGTGGGTTTGTTGGTGCTGTTGACGGCTGGGATGTCTGCCGTCGGAGATATTCCGTTTTTTCTCGTCTCTTCCGCGTTGGCTGCAATGTATCGACGAGCTGTGGGTTCTGGCCATCTGCCCTCCGTCTCCATCCGACCTCCGTTTCCCTCTGACCTGCGTCTCCACCCGGCATCCGTCTCTATTTGACCTCCGCCTCCATGTGGCGCTCGTATCCACCTGATATCCGTCTCCATCTGACCTCCGTCTCCATGTGGCGCTCGTCTCCACCGGACACCCGCCTCCATCTGACCTCCGTCCTCCATGTGGCACTCGTCCACCTGACATCCGTCTCCATCTGACCCGTCTCCCATGTGGCGCTCGTCTCCACCTGACATCCGTCTCCATCTGACCTCCGTCTCCATGTGACGCTCGTATCCACCTGATATCCGTCTCCATCTGACCTCCGTCTCCATGTGACGCTCGTATCCACCTGATATCCGTCTCCATCTGACCTCCGTCTCCATGTGACGCTCGTATCCACCTGACATCCGTCTCCATCTGACCTCCGTCTCCATGTGCGCTCGTATCCACCTGACATCCGTCTCCATCTGACCTCCGTCTCCATGTGGCGCTCGTATCCACCTGACATCCGTCTCCATCTGACCTCCGTCTCCATGTGACGCTCGTATCCACCTGATATCCGTCTCCATCTGACCTCCGTCTCCATGTGGCGCTCGTCTCCACCTGACATCCGTCTCCATCTGACCTCCGTCTCCATGTGGCACTCGTATCCACCTGAATATCCGTCTCCATCTGACCTCCGTCTCCATGTGGCGCTCGTATCCACCTGACATCCGTCTCCATCTGACCTCCGTCTCCATGTGACGCTCGTATCCACCTGACATCCGTCTCCTCTGACCTCCGCCCATGTGACGCTCGTCTCCACCTGATATCCGTCTCCATTCTACCTCCGTCTCCATATGACTCTCGTATCCACTGTGAGCTCTCATCGGACACCCGTCTCCATCTGACCTCCGTCCTCCATGATGACGCTCGTCTCCACGGATATCCGTCTCCATCTGACCCTCCGTCTCCATGTGACGCTCGTATCCACCTGATATCCGTCTCCATCTGACCTCCGTCTCCATGTGACGCTCGTCTCCATCGGACACCCGCCTCCATCTGACCTGCGTATTTGTCCGGGTGCAGCCGTCCATGCATACCTCGGCGCACACGGCCCGCGGCTGTCCCAGTTCTGACGGTCGCGATCGTTGCCAGCCTGCCCGAGGTGTTGGTGGTGCCCAAGGGTCTGCTCGACGCTGACCTGGTGGCGGCCAGCGGCCACTTCGTGGAGCGGCGGCCGCCCATCTGGTGCTGGGGCAATGCTGAGGGCGCTGCCATCGTCCGGTCAGCCTACACGCACCCGGACATGCGTAACAGGTGGGGCCTGGCCGGGGCGTGACTGTGTTTCATGAAACGAAGCTGCTTATCTACGCAGCTTTGGTTTGCGTCGCATGGACTGATTGACTCATCAGCCGAGTGCAGCGACGGGCCCTTTTATCAACGACCTCAGAAGCTACAGATTACATAAAATTGACTGTTTTCGGTTCGTCTGGATACACGTAGCAATCTAGAACTGTGTAAGCTGGAAGCTTTGCTTTATGATGATGATGATGATGATTTGGGGTTTTAGGGCGCATCGGCTGCTGTAGGTCATGCAGTGCCCAACTTTGCTTTAGGTGACTAGGCCCAAGCTGGCTTTGTGTCCGGCCCCGGGCCCAGGGTGATAAGGGGCACGGACATACCCACCCTTCCCCCGGCACGTCACGAAGGTGGTATGCCCGTGTTCGGGCCAAGGACAGGGAGGTGTTCCTTTCCGGGCATTGAGAAATGGTGTGTTGATTGATTGATCTGATTCCTTGATAGAACGAAGGTGCGTCCGTTCCCGTAGATGTGCCGGGAAGGTGTAGACCCTGCTCTCTAATCAGTCCCCAGGAGCGGTGTCAGGTCCCAGACACCACCCTGTCCCCTGATCAGTCCCCAGGAGCGGTGTCAGGTCCCAGACACTACCCTGTCCCCTGATCAGTCCCCAGGAGCAGTGTCAGGTCTGATACACCACCCTGTCCCCTGATCAGCCCCAAGAAGTGGTTTCAGGTCCCAGATATCTCGCCCTGTCCCCCGATCAGTCCCCAGGAGCAGTGCCAGGTCCCAGACACCACACCCTGTCCCGTGATCAGCCCCTAGGAGCGGTGTTAGGTCCCAGACACCTCACCCTGTCCCGTGATCAGTCTCCAGGAGCAGTGTCAGGTCCCAGACACCACACCCTGTCCCGTGATCAGCCCCTAGGAGCGGTGTTAGGTCCCAGACACCTCACCCTGTCCCGTGATCAGTCTCCAGGAGCAGTGTCAGGTCTGAGACACCTCACCCTGACCCGTGATCAGCCCTTAGGGTCAGTGTCAGATCCCAGACACCTCACCCTTTCCCGTGATCAGTCTCCAGGAGCAGTGTCAGGTCTGAGACAACTCACCCTGTCCCGTGGTCAGCCCCCAGGAGCAGTGTCAGGTCTGAGACACCACCCTGTCCCGTGATCAGTCCCTAGGAGCGGTGTCAGGTCCCAGACACCTCACCCTGTCCCGTGATCAGCCCCGAGGAGCGGTTTCAGGTCCCAGACACCACCCTGTCTCGTGGTCAGCCCCCAGGAGCGGTGTCAGGTCCCAGACACCTCACCCTGTCCCGTGGTCAGCCCCGAGGAGCGGCGTCAGGTCCCGGACACCTCACCCTGTCCCGTGATCAGTCCCCAGGAGCAGTGTCAGGTCCCAGACACCTCACCCTGTCCCGTGATCAGTCCCCAGGAGCAGTGTCAGGTCCCAGACACCTCACCGTCTCCCCTGATCAGCCCCCAGGAGCGGCGCCTGCTGGACGCCATGCGCGCCTCGCAGCCCTTCATGCGGGAGCCGGTGGTACAGGACGTGGGAGCTGCCTGCCCCACGGCGGGGGAGCTGCAGGAGAGCTACCAGCGGCTGCGGCAGCTCTGCTCGCCAGGTGGGTCCGGCTCCTGCGGGCGCGGCTCTGCGACAGAGGTCGCGGTGCCTGCCGCGGATGGCCCGCCAGGCTGAACGCCGTAGAGGGGTGCGTGACCCACCCTGCCACGGGTGGGTGGATCGGAAGGCAAGCGCTCGAGCCAACTGGGCCATCGGGACGGGCAATGTTTGGACGAATAAGGGCTGGGCGTTGTAGGAAAAGCAGACGGACTCGTTATTCATGTTTCAGATGCTGCTTTTCTTTGTAACGTGGATGATGATTCGATGTAAGGACCATGCGATGCTATTTGGTACCTGACCTCTGGGCTCCCTTTGCCCCTCTTAGCTTAGACGGTGCACTACGCGCTCCATGTTGTCCCCACGTGTTTTGGCGCTCGATCCTTTGCTGTCTAAATGACGACATGGTACGTCTCCGGCCTTTTGGTCTTCACGGCCACTTTTTAAGTCCGGGATGGTATTCAGACTATGAGTACATCCGTGGTTTCAAAAACACAGCGGAATGAAGTTGTGGGACTCAAATTGAAGGAGTGCGCGCACCAGTTGTTTGACTCCTTCAGTGAAATTTGTCTTGATCCAAACCGCTCTCTGGGCCACTACCTTGTCTTCTTCGCCGTATGTGCCGTCGTACCACTTTACGGAAGTCGCCGGTGTGGCCTGTCTTCACCGCAGACTTCTTCCAAAGTCGACCAGGGCATTTAAAAGATCGCCAAGTGCCGCTTAGTTGCTGCCCTCGCTGCAGCTCCTCGGCTGGTCTGAACCAGAAGGGCCAATGACGCCTCGACCGTTGATGGTGCACCAGGCGGAGCATTTTCGCTGCGCAGAGGCGCTTCGCGAACCGTATGGGGAGCCTCGGTAAACCCAAACCGATGGTGTCGGCTGATAACCTCACCGTCTAAATCAAGGCTCTCCTCGCCTTCAAACCCGGTTGATGAACGGTGGGTTTTATTGGCACGGTCGAGAGAACGAGGCCTTGTGCCCTGTGCGCGTGGGTTATAGTCCGTTACTGTGGTGTGAGCTCACTTTATGTGGGAACAGACGTTTGTTATTGTCGGGTTTTATGGTCACGTCAACTGCATTGGTTATTTTAGCCCAGGGGACGGATTGAGCTCTTGTCTTGCCAGCCTCAGCGCGGTGGCCCTGCTACTGGTCCTGCCCGGATGGACGGATGGCTTTGCAGGGGCTGCGCAGCATGTCCTGTCTGGCTTGTGCAATTTCGGTCGGAGCCCTTTTGGCTCGTTTCCGTGGGCTGACTATGCCAGCAGGTTTTCAAGATTGGCCTTTGCGGTGATCTGCACATGACGCTGAATCGCGTTCTTTGGGGGTGTTTTTATTGTTTAAATTGCCGTTTAAGGTTCTCTGTGGGTGAGGTATGTCTTAAAGTACGATTTCGCCCCAAGTCATCACAACCGAGTTGGTTTCAAATAACGATTCCAGTGTCTACTTTCTTGTCTACTGAGCACGGGAACATGGTCTCCAGAATAGTTGAGGCATGAAACAAAATTGCGTCCAGATTGAAATTGAGATTTCGTCCAGGCAAGCCACGTAGATCGTGTTGTGACTTTCTTGGAGGGCTGCTATTCAACGAGAAAATCTGTCTGTTTTTTGTTAATTCCCTGTAGGCGTTTGTTGTTTGAATATCGCCTGTTGTGTTTGAGTTATTTGCGGCGTTTCCGTGAGCTGTAACCTCATGTTCCCGTGCGGAGGTGTCGCAGTCCTAGTGACCTAGTCCACTTAAGCCGCTGCGTAATATTTACAAGAACGAATGCTGCGGAGAAGCTGGCATTTCCCGTTGCTTGCGCACTTGGCCTGAGCGAGCCTGCTGCACACCGCGTCCACCGGCTCGCCTGCGTTGACGGGGCGCCCCGCTGGCTGGGTCGGCAGACAGTCTGCAGGCGCTGGCCGAGTCCGACGGCCGCTTCCTGAGCCAGCTGTCGGCCTCCCGCTGGCTGTGGGCCGTCTCCCGCTGTCTGGGCACCGCCCTCGACTGCGTGGACGTGCTCACCACGCAGCGCACCGTCTGCGTTCTCACCGGTGAGCGGCGTCCGGGACTGGCTGGCGGGCCGGCGGGCCGCGCCACGGAGACGCCAGCTCCGCCCTCCGTGTCGCACGGCGGGGCGTGATGGGGGAGGGGGGGGGGGGGAGACACGCCTTAGGCCGGCACAGGCACGGTGTGTTTTTCTGTGTGCGCACGTTGTTGGATGCGACGCTTGCAGCGTTTGTCCTGCGTATTGCATCATCATATGCGTCTTGCATAATCACACTGGTGTTGAAGCGTGTTTCCATGTGCATAGTGTAGCTATTTGATGCACCCCCACCCCCACCCTGACCCCCACGTACTGCAATGCCCATGGCT